GATCCTGAACCGTGGAAAGGATCGGGTTTCTTCTTGCTCCCGGAAAAAGAAGGTTTTATACCGGTTTGACTCCTACCGTGGAAAGAGTCAAAGTTTCTTAATCAAATACCCAAGAGGCGCTTGGGGAGTGGAGTAGGTCGGTTGTTGCCGAACCACTATAAAATTTCCGGTGTCATTTTCTCTAACCCTACTCTATTTAATTTTTGCAATTAATTTTCTTTATTACCAATTGCATAAAATTAATTGTTCGAATTTGTTATTCATATTTACGCTCAATGTTTATATTTGAATTATTTGGGTGGTGAAATTAATTAGGGTGTTTGTATTTCTAATTTATTGTTTAATTTGTGATAAAATTAATTGTTGCTAAAAATTTTACTTATTTGTTTAAATTTGGGCCCTAGTAAAAAGTTTATAAAGTTTAATTATTAAACCCTGTTCACCCCCCTCTAGGGTTGTCATACCGATCCAACAATATATACATAATATATACTGTTTCAAAAGTCATATATATAATACTAGTTAGCCACACGTGCGATGCACATGAAATTTTGTAGTTCTATTTTAAAGTATAAAAATAAAAAATATATATAAATCGTTACAAATTATAATGAAAACTTAATTTCATGGGAACGACTCATGGAATTACAGCTTAGGTGAATTGTAGTAGTAGTTATCATTGTGACGAAAGTAAAGTCATTGTTGATAGCAACAGTCAGGTTCCAACTGAAAATGTTAATAATGTAAAGGGAAATTGCGAGAATGAAAGAAAAAAGTTAGAAAATTTTTATGGATGATTAGTGAAAATATTTTGAGAGTGCAAAAGAGAGATTTAGCACCAGAAAATTCTAGAGAGAAAGAAGAATAAAGAAAAAAAATATAGCTCAAATCATCCTACAAAATGAGGGGAAGAAAAGGTCTTAGTGGTGGAAATGAAAGAGTTTAAAAACTCTTGAAATCCCAAAGCTTTTGATATTCAAAAACTAAATATAATTAAAAGATATAATTATTCAATTAATCTAAGTTAAAACAAAACTTTTTATCTTAAATTTTATTAATATAATTTAAATTAAATTAATATAATTTAATAGTTATAGACAATTAATTATGAGGGACATATTTTTTAAATTAAAAATTTTATAGAAAATGAAAATTGTGTAGAAAATATAGTATTCCAACCAAAAAAATAAGACAATAAAATAAGATGTGTAAAAAATATTGAATATCATATAAATTTGAAATAATAAATGTGGTTATCAAATTTTAATTAAAAATATTTTTATAAATTTGAAAATAAGCAAATCTAAGACATGATACATTCAATCAAATTATGTAACTAAAAATACAAACAATGAAATTATTTGTTAGATTGTCAAAATTATAATAGAAATAAATAAAATTGTTCATTTATTACTCTTGGACCATATTTACTTCAACTGAATGATAATGGAGGAATAAGAATCAATTTTTTCATTCCGTTTACCAATGTGTAGGAATGAGAATCAAATGGTCGGATCTACCCACTTTTTTTATTCTCGTTCTCTAAAAATGAGCAATCTCATTCCTCTTCTGCACTCATATCAATCTCATTCTTATTCTTTATTTCGTGGGCCCCACACATTTATTGCACCGACTTTTCTACTGCTCTCTCATCATTAATAAGACCCATAACTTTTTATTTAATTCTTTTATCTTTTTTATTTCTTTTTCATTTACACTATTAATCATTCTTCTTTTAGTAAAAATTTATATCTAGTTGACGTGATTTTATTATAAAATATTATAAAATTATATTTAATATTTAATATTTTAATTTAATTTAATTATTATTAATTAATATCAGATTTTTTTAAATACAATTCATTATTATTAATTATTATAATAATAAAATTTAAAAACATTATTAATTAATAAAATTTTATATTAAATGATGATGATTCCAAAATAAAATAGTATTTTAGTAGATGTAATTTTGTTTTAACTATTTATTATTTATTAATATTAATATTAAATAAATTGCGATGGTAAAAAAATATTTACTATCAATAATATAGTAATAAAATAAATTAAAATATATTATTATTATAGTTTACAAAAAAATTAGCACAACAATGTATTTGTAATTAGCTATAAAGAAGAAATGAGTATACTACTAATTGTCATATATCTGATTCCAATTCGGATTCCAAATAGTTTTAGTAAACATTGTCAAATGAGCTGATTCTGATCCAAATTTTTTTTTTGGTAAACAACATCAAAGGAATAACATTCTCATTCCGATTGATTTTTATTCCGATTCATTTTCATTTTGATTCCTTAAACATGTCCTTAAACTACTTTTTAAAATTGAAAATTGACAAATCAAATATCTTTTTTTTATTTTTAAAATGATAAATATAAATGATATTGCATATTTAAAATATAAAAATAAAATCTCAAATAAGAGAAAGTAAAGAATTGAAATTTGAAAAAGAAACTGAATAATGTGTACTGCCATGAAATCATTTAAAAAAATGTGGGATAAAGAATCACACGACCAAGAAAAATAAAATAAGAGCTACACCAATAAAAAAGACATATTAAGATAAACAGGAAAACTAATACTAAAATATGACATGAATATAGTTTAAAACTTGAAAAAACATTAACTGAATATTAAATTGAACTTGAAAAGAACCTTAACTAAATATTAAAACACGAAGACGAAGGTATCATGAATATATAAAATTTAAAATAATCTACCTAAAAAGGTTAAAATAATATAAAAAAACTAAAAGTTAAAAGATAGGAGGAATACATAATTTTATACTCTACCTCTTTAATAGATTAAATATATTTTTGAATTCAGATACTATCAGAGTAGGTACAAAATTAAAAGATATAAACATAGAATTTAAAAGTAGTTAAAGATATATAACAGCAACCACCACATCAATCTAGATAGATACAGTTTAGAAATCAAATAATTAAAATTAATAAATACATTTTTTGTTTTTTTAAAATTTTAGAATTCATGACCCATAAAGATGAACTGCTTTTCAATGGACGAAATAGGAAAAATCATGGGAACAACAATTAGATGAACTTGTAGTCTCGTTGGACAGAGGCATTGTCTTACAATTGCTATGGATGAATTGCAAAATCACAAAAAAGAATATGTTATATAGTCAATTTTTCTATCTATTCTTAAATTTATCTCAACATGTATCTTCATTTACCGTTAAATGGACAATGAAGAAGAAAGATGCTTGTATCTTGGTCATGGAAGTGTATTGACATGGTTATTCCTCTCTTAGGTAAAAAATATATAAACATAAAATAAAAAATCGAAAAGATCACGAAAACAATAATAAGTGGGATAAATACAAATATTAAATATAACTTTATAGGGATCCAAAAAAATAATTAAAGAGAAAACAATAATCATTACATGACAGTTTATAAAAAATAATACTCAGAATATGATAACAGTACAATAATTCACAAAAATTTATAAAACATAACGCTCAAAATTCACATCAATTTTTATGTTTTACTTCTTCATCAGCTAAAATTAATTTTTGTATTCGCAAATCTTGATTTTGGCATACTTCAATGTTTCCTATATGAAGAACAAAAACTTTTAATTTCCACTCATTTTGAAAATGTACGAGTTATTTGATAAAAGAAGAGATTTTCGTAGACATTTCGGGAGAAAGAATATATGAGTTTTTAATTTACACTCTTTCATTTTATAAATGGTTTGTAAAGGATGAACAGTCATACATCTTCATCGTTGGATGCACTACTTCTATAAATGGTTTCTAAAGCAAGAACACTCACACCTCTTCAACGTACTACTTCTCTAAACAGATACTTCATTCAAATAATACCATCCGTAGAAGAGGTACATGGAAGAATATATAATATAGATGAAGGATAAACTTGATATATCTTAAAAAGTTGGGGGCAAAATGGGGAGGTAAAGATTATAGATGTATTTTGTGGCCAATTTGCCAAAATATTCTATTTTATTTTTACTTTTTTGAATTTAAACAGAAGGAATTTGAATCTAAAGAAATTATTAATACCTTTACCAAAATTATACCAACTTGTCAAAATCATATATAATTCAAGGACGTGGGGTTGTCGAGACCATTGGAAACAAGAAATTGCTTGGACCAAAAATTTCAATTTTTGTTGAAGAATATATATATATTTTTTGTAGGGTGTTCAACGATGACCTTTAGCAAGTTTTCTTTTTTTTTTTTAATCTCTTTCAATCTATTTGTCTTCTTGACTTATTAAATTTTTATTGACACGTCGATATTTTTATATGTCTATAGATTCGACATTGATCAAATATATGGAAATATCAATAAAATTAGACATAATATTAATATTAATAATTTAAAACTTATTTTTAAAATGTGAAATGTTTATTTCTGATGAAATTTTTGTTTTTATAATTCTTTCAGAAATATTCATCAATATATCGATATTTTCTATAAAATTAAGATTACATGTGATCGACATCGACCTTTAAAACTTTGATGACTTTAATGTTATCATATTTTCGCAAGTTTCAAAATTGTTTCCAAAGGGATATGCTTCGGCCATATATATAAGAAATCTTTTTTAATGTTTCCATCTTTCATAGTTTTACATTATATATATCTAAATCAATTTAACTTAAAAATAAATAAAATTTATGAAAGATGAAAAGGTTAATAAAAATCACGACATGCATACTTTATTTGTCAATAAGAATGCTCACATAGCATCTAATTATTACACACTATAGAAATAACTAAGTGCAAACATGCCAACACGAAGATAGTTTAGCAGTAGAACCATCTACTTTTTTCTTGAGATCGGAGTTGTCAAAGGTATCTATCAGGTAGTAGATCCTTTAGATTCAACGTCAATTATATGCTACAACCTTTGGATCGTGGTGGAGAATATTATGAAATTATACAAAGAGTTTCAAATCTCCATATCCTATCCCTCATACTAAAAAAACCACAAGGTGAAACACATACATGCGCAACTAAATCAAGTGACAAGATCAACTATATGTCTTAAGCTAGTTTATAGGTTTCGCCCATCAATAAGTTGGATACATATTATGAGATAGACGTGGCTCTGCATACAAATGCAATGGTTTAGGGAGGGAGAAATCATCACATTGAGAGAACTCGACCTTGCTCATTCCTGGCATTAAGTTCCACGAAAACCCTTGAAGCAACCTAGCAAATAGCATCATGGTGATGTTTGTGCCTAGTGTGCTACCCATGCAGCCTCTCCTCCCTTTAGTGAAGCTAATGAATCGTAGATTTGGTTATGATAATCCCATGTCACCCATCGTCTTATCCTTGAGATGGCGTTCTGGATCGAATCGTATTGGATCCTTCCAAATCTTCAGGTTTCGACCGAGACCGATTCGACTAAGTAGGACTTGGCTGCCTTTTGGGATAAAGTATCCAGCTACAATGACATTGGAATTTGAGACATGAGGAACATTGAATGGTGTAAATGGATGGAGTCGGAAAGATTCTCTAACACAAGCAATAAATCTAACACAAGCAATAAGATACTTAAGTTGTGGGATTCTTTCTCTAACACAGCAATAAATCTAACACAAGCAATAAGATACTTAAGTTGTGGGATATCATATTCTTGAACAAGTCTATCCCTTTCAACAATCCTATCTAGTTCTTCAATTGCTTTCTGGAGAATTTTTGGTTGATTGAGTAATTCTGCCATTGCCCATTCTACTGCATTTGAAGGATTATCAATCGTTGCCATTTGTAGCTCCTGTTATTATGAACGATGAGAAAGGTTGAAGTTAATTTGTCATATGCATGCATGTGTAGAGCTAACAACTTATCTATCCCATGAAATTTTTTTAAAAAAATTATGTTTTTGCATTTCCTTTTTTTAGTTGTCAAACATTTAATGGTGTGAGGATAATATTGGTCACCACTAATCAAGACGTATGTATTTTCTATTGAAAAATTGACAACTGAGAGAGATTTAATGAAAAAAGAAAAGAGTGAAAAAATAGAATAAAGAATTGTTAAACTTTTAATTGTGGTAGGTAGAACTGCTTAAATTTTATAGGATAAAAATTTATCAATCTTATCGTTTCTTTTAAAAGGAAATATATATATTTTCTCCCTCCCTCTCCTCTACTGGTAAAAAAGTTTAGTTAACCAAAAAGAGTGATGATGGGTAAGTACCTAAACAAATATTATACTTATATGTTTGACAAGAATTCTTACCGTGATTTCAGCTTTAATCTCTTCGATCGATAGCAACGATTTTCCATTTTCATATTTAAGCGCGATAAAGATATCAAGAAAATCTTCGATCTCTTTCCTCTTTCCATATTTCCATTGTTGCACTCTCTCATCCACAATCGGTTCGTCATGCTTTCTCACCACTTTCAAACCTTCTTTTACAATCTTTTGATGTTTGTCCACATCAAACGGCCTCAAACAAGGTATGAAATCCGATACAGAAAAGGCATTGATATACTTGAGCAATGCTAGCAGTGCTTGAATGTGCTCTTCTTCTTCAAAAGTTGGCCCTCCATCCTCTTGGCCAGCGCCGTAGTATCTTCTGTTGAATAGCACTCTTCTAATAACGTTGCCACAATAATGTAGAGTTACGCTTCTCAAGTTGACGACCGCCGCACCTTTCGACTTGGTGAGACTGAAAATGTAGCGTAAAAGAGTGTCGGCTTCGTGTGTTCTATGAGCCAGCATTTGGTGGAGGGTGGAGGGATTAAGTATTTGTGAAGTAAGTATTTTGCGCATCTTCTTCCATTGCTCTCCCAATGGCGAAAGAGCAGTGGTAAGGAATCCACGGGTTATGATTTTGGTAGTGTCGAGCATTGGTCGTGATGCAAAGACAGAATCATGGGTCTTTAGAAATTCGAGAGCAAGTTGTGGAGAAGTCACTGGAATGACGTAGGTATTCCCGAGACGAATGCATGCTATTTCAGTGTCGTACTGCTTCATTATTGCATGAATCCATTGGTGTGGCAGTGTGTTATTCGTCCACATTTCCGGGAGGCAGCCGACGAAGGGCCACGGTGTCGGGCCAGGCGGGAGAGCTGCATGGCGGGGGACGGAGAGCTTGCTTTTCCGGTAGCATTGAGAAAAGGTGAGAGAAATAATGAAAGCCATGAGAAGGGAGAAGGTGAAGGTTTTGGTCATGGCTATTGCATAGTTTTGATATGTAAATTGAGTGATAAATAAGAAAGCTTGCATGGCCATGTCTGATCTCTCACTGTCTTTCTCTCGTATTGAATGAGTGCAAACGCTGGGTTTAGGAATGAGAGTAGATATGAAAGAGTGAGAATTGAAGAGAGAGAACAAGTTATGGTTGTAACGCAAGAAGTGGTCTGAATAAAAGCAAGGAACAATAGAAAAAACATGCATATATATTTTGGCACCGATCAAAGGTCGAAAATATATGGTTTTAAGACTCTTCGTGGTCCCAACGTTACCACTGAGTATCTTCACAATAATATGATATAATCTACTTTTGACAGAATTGTCATGATTTTTTTTTTGTTTCACCCAAAAGATTGGGTACTAATTGAAATAATTATCCTCGTCTATATACCATGGATTACTCTTTTCCTAATCAATTTGGAGTTTTTTTTACACTCTTTACAACACTCACACGCCAAAGGGTGATGGGGATGACTCATAAATGCTTATTTTTAGGAAACTCTTATCAACATGCATGTTTGTTCAACAATTCAAAAAATGACCTAATTCATTGCATATATTATTTGCTTAACCTTTTTATGACAATTTTTTAAAAAGTGGTGATATAAAAAGTTTTGGTAAAAATTTTTAAAATCGGTAGTAGTTGATAGACAAATTTTTTTTCTATTCTTTTATGTAGGCCATAGCTTATGTTTGAAATGAGATGGGATATAAGAAGTGGTATGGCAAGGTTTAACTTTTTTTGCTTTTTTATTTTTAAGAAAATGGCAAGATTTTTATAATTAGGAGTAGTTGGTAATATATTATTTTGTTTTATTATTATTGTTATTATTATTGTTGCTGTTTTGTCTATGGTTTTATGTAGGCCGTTGCTTATGTTTCCTCTTTAGTGGTTGCGTTTATATGCTTCCAAAGAGCTCACGTATGATTTGAAGGTATTAAAACAGTATTTGTTAATTAAGCTAGATATGAATTTAGTGTCATTTTATTTATTTATTTATTATTATTATTATTATTTTAAATTTAGTGTCATTTTATGTTATGAAACATTGATAACTAATTGTTTACTTGAGTTGCTTTTAAAAAATCAAGGAATAGGATTGATCAGGAAAATCAAATTCTCATTCGAGTTGCTTTTCAATTGCTTTTCAATGTGTGTTTTCACTTATTACAAAGATCATTTTCTTATAGAGATAACAGAGAAGAAAAAAATAATAGTGCAACTAGACACTAATGTTAGAATTCATTGAGTGGGCCCAAGTTGTTATAATTCTTAAATTCCTTTATGCTCAATTATTGATGGTTTATGTAGGAATGGTAGAATTTAGCTAGGGACAGGAGGAGTGCTGCCAAGGTCGTGGGGTTTTTGCTGGAGTGCTGTTAGAAGAGGCGTGATTGCTGGAGCCTATTGTCGCCCGGATGCCCCAACACGTATAACACTGCAATAACTCGATGGACTTAAATTGTTACCGCGTTCATACAACTTCCAAAGGGTGCCATAAGTTTTATGGATCCGATATAGATATATAAGGAAAGGGTGTCCTAGCTACAAGAGGGGAGAGACATTTTTTATTCATTTTGGGAAGCATCTAATTCAGGGAAAATTCCCTTTTGAGCAACTGGTTTTCATCGAAAAAAGAGCTGGAGAGAGTGCTATTTGCTTGTGGGTCGCGCTGTGCTCTTAAGGAAGCTTCTTATTCTCTGCCATCTACATCAACGATGAAATCTTCTTATGTCTTTTTCATCTATATTCTCTTTTTCATTATGAACTAAACCCCCACCTTCTGGAGGAGAGAGGGGTCAAGCTTTCTGTAATATCCATGTTTGCTATGTGTTGGAACTTCAAAAACTAATTTAATAGAAGTGTGCTTAATTGGCCATCTCACTAAATTAGTGTGACCAACTTGTTTAGTGTGTTAGCTCACTTGAGGCTCGGGAGAGTCCTTGTTGAGTGAGTTTACTTCTATTAGCAATAGTTTCCTCTTCTTGAAGTAGAAAGGTGAATACTCAGGGATGGGGTTCACCCTATTCCGCCTTAAGATTGATTTGACTACTTATTTTTATCACGCGGGAGTTGGGTAAAAGCATGTGTTAGGTATCTCGAGATAGAGCAGTGAATATCTGGGCAATCAGTGTTTTAGAGTAATCTTAGATAGCTATCTCGAAGAAAAACAGCAAGTGAAATGCCCCTCCCCAATTTATTCTCAATTCGTAGCTTCGCATAATTTCTATGTTTTCTGGATGGATGCTTCGGAGTGTGATCTGAAATTCGATTTGTTGTTCACTTTTCTTTTTATGTCTTTTAGATGTAGCAAACGAATCAAAGCATCTTTTACTTTTAATCTTTTGTATCTCGAAGTTGCTAAATCAATTTATAACCTATTTCCTTGAGGAGACGACCTTGTTAATACCCATTTCTCTAGTCAATGTGAGACTTTGTTTGCACTCCTTGCAATCCTAACAATCCTTCCCTTTCGAATAAAGTGTCACCACTTGTATTTTGTCCGAATAATCATTCATTCATCTACTCTCGACAGATACGTGACTCCCAATTAACAATAAGAGTCTGCTCTTATCCAACATGCCCGGATTATGTGTATGTATATAGGGTTAGTTTAGAGTTATTCTAGTAGAGGGTTAATAAATCACCACTCAACCCAAAAGTTTAAGTTTATAGGTTGGATAAATTTAATTCATTTATGAATATCTAATAAATTTACGTGGAATGATATCATTTGTTTTAGTAAGTAATTGAATTTTTGTGTGTTATTAAGTTTCATGAACTTTGATATTCTTATCACATTCTATGTTAGTTTTTTTAGTTAACTTTGATCAAAGATCATGACATTAGTTTTTTATTACTGTGGAGTGAGACTTTTGGAGGGTGTGAACTAGTTATTTACTGAATTTGTTAAGTTATATTAAACTGAGTACTACTCTATTTACTTTTCTGTTATAAAATTAGTTGTTGTATCTATCAGAGTGGTTGTAAGTATCTATCAGTGGTTATAATATTTCACAAGTCTTATAAATACTATTAAAAGTCCTTCCAATAACGAAAAAGGTGAGTGTGCATTTTCATCAAGAGATTAGTACATTAATAGACTATTTAAAGATCCTAATTACATAAAAGGATTGAATGTATGAAATCTACACTTTTGTCATGAAACAAACTTATTTAACATGGTACCCATCACCTAAATTACAAAACTATCACTTTGTATATACACATTAATATTAATTGATTTTTAAATTCCAGAATTCATTAATTGGAAGGTTATATTTTGAATCTCATGATATTTGCTTAATGATACTCCCCAAGAGAAGCTAAAATACCAAAACATCCAAAAATATCCTCAAATCCCTCAAATTCGAAAACCTCCAAAAATATCCCCAAATTCCCCAAATTCGAAAATAGTGACAGTTCGTGTCTTCTTCACAGTTCGCCGGGATTATTCTTCCGACTGCTTGCGCCTTCTTCGACGATTCAGCTCGATTTCGTTTGCTCCTCCATTCGTCTACTTCGTTTGTCTCAGAGGCTTCGTATCCGTCGCAGAGTTGTCTGTTCCCGTCGTTGAGCAGTCCGTTTCCGTTCTACCATCGTTCCGTTTCAGTCTGCTCCTTCGTCTACGGTCCCCACCTCCGTTTTTCTCCACCACCATTATATCTTATAATGGTTGCCTTGCACTCTTTACCTTTTTGTGTATAGGGATATATAGGGATATATGGGGGAAAAATTGCTTGAACGGAGAGGAACCTGTTGAATCAAATCTGAAATGCTTTTGGTGGTGACTTCCAACAACCGGTGGGAAATTTACACACGAAGAGAAATGAAATTGGATATTTTTCCATTAATAATAATGATAAATCATGGGAATAAATCTTTTTTGAAGGAGTGAATCAAGCAATTAGTGTTGAAATTTTGTATGGGACCCACAATATTTAAAGGAATATGATTACAATTTAGGGATTCAAATATTTTAAATTTCCAAAAAAAAAAATAACTATAATAAAAGTAAATGTAATAAATAAGGATAAGATCGGTATTATACAAAAATCCTACATGCACAAATCTAAAAGTGTAAAATTTGAAAACTTTAAACATGTGTGAAATTAAGTTTAAAAAACAGCTCTACATTATCTCTTTCATTAACATGAAAGAATCTTTTATGGTATCAGATAACCCGTCGGACTTAGCGTCTTAATCCTATTTCCACGCTTCTTCCACGCGTCAGTTTTTTGTTCGAATATCATTGGAGTTTTTTTTTTCG